CATGTCACCGGAGAGTGTGTTTTCAAAGATCAATTCACGCTCGAGTAGGCACTGAGAGCTCTAGGTAATGGGAGGGGGGCATCACTTATTCGGAAGGTAGTGACGAATAAGCCAAGAAATGCAACTAGGACAACACCTCGGTGCGTCAGTTATGAAAGCTCAAACGGAGTCGTTTTATATACAAGATTCACGCGAGAACCCCGATTACTTCGGGATTAACAGCAGCACCCGATTGCTGTTACACGAAAAACAAACCTAGTATGATCGTAGGGGGCAAACGCCTCACAAATCATCTGCAGACAGAATGCTGAGCGTAGAACTCCTTATTCATGCCATTCGGTAACTCCGAACCTCATCAACATACAGTTTTTGGAAGGAACATTCACCACAACTTCTAGGGACTAATTACATATTCAGATGAGAGGTAAGAGTTTTTAACGGAGCAGAAATCCTCTCGTAACCACAAAATCAAATGTCCACTTAGCAAAGTATTACTTAAAGCTCCAAGGTCGACCATCCATTACACCAGTAACCCCGCGCATCCCATTACGTCCCATATGCCAACACTATCTAGCCCACGGCGCAATCCTCGACACGACCCCTCAGAGCGGGGGACTCGTCACAAGCAACACGCTCTCATACGCTTGCAAAGAAGGACAATCACCACATTCAGAATCATATACTATTGTTCACTCACAAGCCTCCAAAACCACTGTATCAACCATCCGAGTAGCTTGTCAGACACACGACCCATCCCACAACCCCTCCGTGTGTAATCATCCCCCAAACGGTGTGATCGGTAACCGGCGAGATCACGTCTCGACTCCAGAAAGGCAAGGTAAGCAAGAAACGCCATCAAGAGGGCGGTGATGCAAGCAGAGATTGCAATGGCGAAATCCGCGTCCATGGTGTGGAGCCCCTAGACCCACTGCTAGGTCATACTTGCTTCCTCGATTATATCTTCAATCTCTTCACGGGTCTACCTATCATCTCCTTGGCCAGCACATCACATCAAAACAAAACATCAAGCCAGAGATGGGGGAAACGTGGGTAAGTTGTCAACGAATAACGGAATGCAAGAATCGTACCCGGGACATACGAAACCGGTGTGAATTCTCACAAGCTATTTCCCAGGACCCATTCATCATGTCAACCATAAACAGGGTGGATGCTAAGTCCAGCTAGGGAAGCAAGGTGTATTGGCTAGGGAGTAGTTGCTAATAGTCCCTAAAGCAAGTTTTTTGTTGTTTGGCCACTGAACAGCTCATCAGAGGGGATGAAGATAGCACAATCACCCACGTTTGCTAGTAATAGCTCCAGATCCACACCATCATTGAGCGGAGGAAGTCGAGGGGAGAGGGAAAAAAGTGGGGGTAAAATATCGGGACGGAGGCATTACCGAGCTGGACTATGAAGGTTGCAGCAGGTCCTCAGCGTCCAGCATCTCCTCAACCGTCGGGAGGGAGTTTGCCATGGTGTTTCCAGAGGAGCGTATAAGGAAGAGAGCGCGCGGTCGTAGCAGATGGAAGAGTAGGAGATCAACGAAAATTACGCGCGGCTGTAGCGGACGAAGGGTGGAGGACGGCGCAGTTCCGCAGGGAGAAAACAGTAGCGTTTCGTCGACGGGTTGCGACATGCTTTTCGGTAGCGGTGGTTCCGCCCCGTAGAGCTCAGAGGAGAATGGTACTCCTATTGATTGTTTAAATAGTTGGGGAGCGGGGGGGTCCGCCGGCCTATAGGAATGAATCCGTTTGGTTTCAACCCGGATTGCCAGGCCTAGCTCTGGGGGCTTGCCCTTTCGGTAGGCTATACAGGGTCCGAGCTCTGGAAACTCCTCGGGGGACCATTTAGGAATACAGCTAGTGAGGGAAAAGAACTGGACAGACTTACTCTGGGGGGGCCTACCCCCTATATTAAAATAAACCCGAAATGATTTTAACTTAAAAAACAATTACGCATGGAAGAGGTTAAAGATGTCTCTTATTAAGAAAAACTTCTCCTAAGAGGGTAAAAGACCTTAAATAACAAAAATTAGGGAAAAAAAGTTTTTTTTAAACAAGCCAAAACTTACAAATTGAAAGAGGTTGGTAAAAAAAACAAGGGGTTTTTTTCAGGGGACTGACTCCAAGCGTATGTATGTGTGTGTTTGTGTGTGTGACCCACGTTTTTTTCAGGGGACTGTCTCGGTCCCACCCCATTCCCACTAGTCGGAACCATGGGAAGGGAGGCCTGCGCGGTACCTGGCCCCCCTTATTCTGGGGCAGGTATCCGCTGGTCAACCACACACTCCACCACCTACCACAGACATACAAAAGGTATACAGACATAGGACAAGTGCTCACGATTAGTAGTTGCTTGGTCTCCACAGCATTGGTCCGAAAAGGCTGGAATGTGATAACCCGTCCAAACACGGACTGAAACACACAGCTGATTTMTGAGTTTTGCTCATAGACTGAATGCCCTACTGAGTTCCCCGCCTGCTAGGTCTGTGTGTGCGTGTGCTTGCTGGACTGCATGTCTCTCTGAGTGCTGGTTGGCTTGCGTGTGTGACTGTGACGAACCACTTTCTGTAACGCGCGAGTTTCTGCGCGGTTGCAACGAGGGGTCCTAAGCTGGGAAGATTGGGCCAATTACGGGAAATCGAGATCGGTGGAAAATTGCATCAGTACACTTGCTTCTTCGTCTTTTTCGTCGCTTCTTCGGGGCTGGGTGTGTCTTGGGACGGCCAGTTGAGTGATTGGTCAGATGAATGTTTGGCTCGCCACCGCGCGCGCGATTAATAAATGTTGACGTCGTTTCTTTCGTTTCGGTTTCGATCTTTTGGGCGCGGACATCGCGCGGGAAATTGCTTCGTTCTTTTGAATTTTTCCTTTGGGTCTCTTTCGAATTTTGTCGAGCCCCCCCCCGATGGCTCTCAGAATTTTGGACTTTCCTTCTCGAATTTGTGCTTTTTGCTTTTTCGCATTAGATAGGAATTTAGGAATTCGGTAATTAGGACTTTTTCCTGCCGCGCGGCGCCTTTTGTCTACGCGCTTCTTCATGCGGCTGTAACGGTACTCTGATTAGAGGGCGCCCTTAATCGTGTGTGTAACTGTAATTTTGGGCGGGCGCCATTGTAACTGTATCTTTCTTCTTGCACTTCGTCTCTCCCGCCCTCCCTCTCTTTCTTTTGCTGAAATTTTTATAGGTCACGGTTTGCATGCTCGAATCGATGTGCGGAGAAGGGTTACGTCCCCCATGCCACGGCTCGATCATGCAGAACGCAGGCGCTCCCTCTCTAATCTTCACTCTTAAGTCCTGGTAATTCCGTGTTCTTCGCGCATGCATGTACGCTATAAATTTCTGCCGCGCGATTAGTCAGCTCTCTTAACCCGTTGTTGGAAGCTTGGGGTTGCGCGATCAGGAAGGGTCGGCACACGAGCGAAGTAAGAGGTGAGTAGAATAGGAGTTGGGCGACCCGACGGGCTGGTGCCGAACGCGCGGGCTTGACGTGGGCCACGACGGACTGTGGGCACGGGCGAATCCGACGGGTGCAGGAGGACTAAGCGGGGTGACAACTTTGTGGGTTGGTGCGTGACGACGGACTATCCGCATCGGAGAGAGAGAGAGAAGGAGAGAGTTGAGGTCGATGGGCGTGGATTTGTTGTTTCTTTGTCTCTTCCCCCTCTTCATCTGTGTACATACATTTTGATTGCGGCTCCGGGCGGTTTGCCCGTTCTTATTTTCGTTTCGGCTTTCTGAAATCTGAGCTCGGGTTTTTGCTCACACTTGTCTTTGSTATTCCCGCTTGCATTATATGTATGATTATCAAATRTATGGATGTGTGGACGTTATGCCTGCTTGTCTATCTTTTTGCTGAGAATCCCCCGTCCTTGCTTTTTGTTTGTRTYGAATCTTTGTTMACACCTGATGCAGYTGTAGATGGGATAGRAACCTKGCCCCGATAACGATTTTTGTTCTCGTTTTTGCTTATCTCACGATGGGGGTTGTGCTATGGTTGCATCTGGCATAATCGAAACTTTCGAAGTCTGGCCCCGCGAACGCCGCACGAGAACACGTGTAAACGCGATCCGAGTCGYGCCCTTACACGCATTCCCRTGCGTCGACTCKCTCACCCAAAAARATTCGCGGCGGAACCGTCATCCCGTACAAGCACGCTGAGGCRCCACTGAGGCTGYCTGCCYTGCACGTGCTTGCKCRYGGTGACGATATCCCGACCGAGTTGTCCCATATACGATGATACCATGACGCGATCTTGGAGCACAGACTCATCCTACGACCCGGACTATTTCACCCCTMTSATAAACGAGCTCATAAGGACGCGATACCCCTGTTACACGGAGAATCGACTATGTCCGCGGGAATTCCACTGCGCCACCTCTAGCGACCCTCGGTGCTCTGATTTCCCTTCCCCCGACCGCACCTACTACTTCACCCACCCGGGATTTGTTGTCATCTCCACCAGTTTCCCTCCTTTCCGTCTTTTTCTCCCGTANGATTTCCCTTCCCCCGACCGCACCTACTACTTCACCCACCCGGGATTTGTTGTCATCTCCACCAGTTTCCCTCCTTTCCGTCTTTTTCTCCCGTACCATCAACTCAGTGTCGTTTCGTGGCCGGCCATAGCCCCCTATTAGCCCAACACGTTTTGTGTGAATTGCCGACGTAGCGGCGAACAGAGAACTCTGGAATTCCGAAGGCCCAACCCAGGCCGGCGGCGACCTGCGCCACGCGGCGGGGCCCGACGGCCTAACTTTTCGGGACCACCTCCACCACGGAGGGACTTCCCCGTAACCCGTCGCCCACAGTGCCCCGGCCCCATCAGACCGTGAATCCCTTGCACACGCACCCCTGACTCGCCTAATTGCATTCATACCCTTAAGACTCCCCCACTTTCCCCAAAAATCCTTGGCACACCCCTTTTCGCACTTCGCGGCCCACACCCCACTCCGATCAGGAAGTCGCGTCGGGCGTGAGGTTGGTATCGGAGCTCGACACGTGGCTAGGGTCTTAGGATTGATAGCACGTTAATTAGGCGGCCTGGCTAACCGTGGGCGACCTCGCCCTCGGAACGCGTATAGACGCGACCCTATCGTCACCAGAAGCAGATCGGCTAACTGATGAGCAGCCAATATGGTTGCCAACGTGCACAAGCTCCCATGTCGCCACCAGATCTCTATCTATTTGACCCGGCGCATCATCTCGCAGGAGCATGGCTGGTCACGCTTAGAGCACAACAGTACGATGATCACGAAGCACAGATCAACATTCCGACTCGAACGGGAGGAGACGCTCATCATTGGTATAGTACTTATGTATGGGTGGATCTCCCGACCTTCGAACGGGATTTCATGAATCGATTTGATTATGTCTACCCTGAGCAAGCGCTGTACATGATCAAGGACCGAGTGCAAAAACCGCTCGAGTCCGTTGCGGAATATCGAAACTGGTTCTACCGAATGTTCATAAAAACTGAGCGAGGTGAGCAAGTAGGGAGAGATTTGTTCATTGACGGACTCCACAGTCGAACAATAAGGGCTAAGTTGCGAAAGCAGTTTTCCCCCATCACCCATACGCTACAACAAATTATGGCTGCTGCGGAAGAAATGGAACGGAAGTTCGCGGCGAACTTGCTGGAAGGAGAAGATTACCCTAGAGACGGAGATTCGACCGAGCTCGCTCGAGAAAGAGCAGAGCTGGCTGCTTTACAGAACAAATTTGAAAACATGGGGTTTGTATCAGGACCTGTCACCTATATGGAACAGATAGGCCCCAAACGAGTAATCCTAAGTGAGACTCCGAGCATCTCTGCTCCTATGATGCCCCCGCCCGTCAGGGAATTACCCCCGCCACCGGTCGAGGCTCCTGTACGATCAAACGAATCGGCGGGCATTTTCGAACTAACCAAAACTTTGATTATTTTGATCCAAGAAAGCAAAAAGGAACAGCGAGAGCACAATGCTCGGCTGGAGGCCATGATGAGGAACATGCGACCTATTGCAGTGCGTGCCCCTCCGATGCAACAAGGATTAGCCCCCGCCCCTGCTCTCGGAGGAGCTGCGAACAATCTGAATGTTTGCTACACATGTCATCAGCCCGGACATCTAGCCCGTGATTGCCCCCATCGACCCCCACAACAGCGGATCGGAGTCGCACCTATGGCTGCGGCCCCCATCGCCAACGGACCTGGACGAGTCGGAGCCTTGATGGAAGAAGTAGAGGGTGGGGGAAGTGCCTTGGCCACCACGGAAGAGGCCGCTGAGCTAATTCCTTTAGATCGGTATGTGTCGCTGGGATATCCTAGGCTAGGAATGATTGGAACAATCAGACCAGCGCCAAAACTGAAAGAGGTGGCGGAGTGGCGACCGTCCTTAGGAGAAATGAAGTCGGGAGGACCCACCTTCGTCACAGGAGAGATCGATGTACTAAACATCATCCGAGCCTTGGACCATCGGATTCCCCTTCTGATCGGTCATCTACTCTCGATCTCCGAGCAAGCCAACGAGCGAATGTTACAGCATTGTAAAGCGAATCGAAAGCGATTCGCTCTCGCCCGAGCACCGAACGTAAAAGCCAAAGGCTCCGCGCCGGAAGAAAACCCAACAAGCACTCCGGATCTGATACGAATAGGATTAATTCAGAAAGACGATCATTTCCTATTGATTACACCCATTGCGTGGAAATCCGCAGAGTGCGATATAGAATTTTGGGGAATTCCTTACAACGCCATTATAGACTCAGGAGCAGTTGTGTTGGCTATTTCACTGAGAG